CTCTAGCCTTTATTGCTTCTTCTTTAGGAAGAACTCTCAAAGTTGATGAAAATACTCTCAATTTCTCCTGGCCAGATCGGGCTCATTTCTACGTGGAGGTTGATGTCTCCAAACCTCTATCTGCCAAGGCTCATCTCAAATTAGGGGATAAATTAAAGATTCCTTTATCCCATTAATATATGAAAATGTTCCACATTATTGTTCCACATGTATGAAACTTGGGCATATGAAAGGGTACTGCAGAAGCTCTCATCATAGATGAAAGATCAGAGAATGCAAGTAGTTTAGACAGAAGGAGAAGAGCCGATTCAAAGAAAAGGAAAAGAACCAGTTCAGGAACAATAGACATTGATTACCTCCAAAAAAAAAGTGGGACAGGAATAGTGTGGATGAGAAAGATGGTCCCATTCTAGTCAGGCCTTGGGGAATGCTCTACACAGGCAAATTCTAAACATCTACAAGACAAATCCCATCCGGACGAAAATCAAGTTGCACCAGTCAATTCTAAAGCTCCTGCCAATTGATATGCACATATTTAATGATTACATTTTATGTTAATTTTCCGTTTTATGTTGGTAGAGCGGTCCTATGCTTGGGTTTATATGTTTTACAGATATTTTGAGGCCATTTGGACACATTAAGAAAAGATTGGAAGTTGGGATTCGAACACTGGACCTCACGGTGTGTGGAAGAGCAGATTGGACCATCGCGCCACAGCTGACTATTCGGCATTTAACTGGCGGACACTCTTTATTCTCTGTTTCAAATTCGGCCCATGAATTGAGAGAGAAAAATGACAAAACAATGAACGGTGGGAAGCTTCGAACACGGGTCACGCGGCAAGACAACCAGTTACGTCTCCATGTGCACTACTGTAGCCGTATTGACCAAAGGTGTAACTGTTTGTATATACTCCGTATATACGAATTTATCTATAAAATCCCATCTTCTCTCTTCTCCTAAGAGGTTGGAACCCCCATTTTCTTCCTTCTCTCTAGTCCGAAATTCTCCTCCTCCATCACTAATATCTCACCACTTTCTTCTTCCAAACACATAAAAATTACTCCATCTTCATCATCATCAACACCATTAATTTTANTTATAAAAACATTGGACAATTAATTTACCAATTTCTACCCCTAACTTTTCAACATCAAAAACTTTGTGTTGTTTGGAACTCTCTTCTTTTACACTTTTTATTTTATCTCTAAAACCAAAAAGACCAAAATATTTTACAACTTCTTTTGTAAACTTTTGTTTAAATTAAATTAACTCGCGTCTCTCTGAGGTTCGACACCCTACTTACAAGGGATTCTTTTTAGTTGTTATTTTTGCCCGTTCTATACTGCAAATCAACTTGGCGCCGTTGCCGGGGAGACGGTTTGAGTTTTTTATTTTAAACATAAGTTTTATTGTTTATTTGTTGTAAATATTTGTTATTATTTTGTTTTCCTAACCTCTTCTTGCAGGTACTAAAAAAAACAAAAAAAAAACAAAAAAGAAAAAACTAAAACAAAGGTATCACTTGTCTCGGTGGTTTTTACCTCTTGACTTAAGTGAGAACCTTTTTATTAATTTTTGCACATTACATTTTTTCTCTTTTCCTTTCTCCCTTTCCCTTCCCTTTTAGTTTCCCCCCCCCCCTTTTATTTACCTTCTATTTCCCTTTCCCTTCCCTTGTCTCTCTAAACCTCCCCAATCCCTTTCTTTTATGCTAACGCGTTCACGTGGGATTAATCAAGAAAAATTTTTCTATCTAGAAATTGAGAAACATTTGAAAGAAATAAGAAAAATAAAGAAAATGGAAGTCCCACGGAACGATGTTCTTGAAAATGTGCAGGGAATTCAGAGAAGACAAAATGAAGTTCCGAACAGGAGGACTCTTTCTGACTATGTCACTCCTCCTATGGTGGAACATAACAGCATTATTCCGCCGGATGTCACAGCAAACAACTTTGAAATCAAACCTGCTGTCATCCACATGGCCTCATCTGATCAGTTTGGTGGAGGACCAACGGAGGACCCACACAACCATATCACCAAATTCCTCCGAGCATGCAACACGTTCAAGATCAATGGTGTGCCAACTGATGCAATCAGGCTCCGTCTGTTCCCATTCTCTCTAAGGGACAGAGCTCAAAGCTGGCTGGATTCATTTCCAGACAACCACTTCACAACTTGGGACCAGCTTCACGGCGAATTTCTCAAACGATTCTTTCCGCCTTCCAAAACAGCAAAAATCAGGCGGATGATACAAAATTTCAAGCAAAATCCAAACGAGCCCCTTTACGAGGCTTGGGAGAGATTCAAAGATCTTCAAAGGCAATGCCCACATCACAATATCCAGTCCTGGCACTTAATGACGACTTTCTATGAAGGCCTAAATGAAAACTCACGGATATTGTTGGATGCCTCGGCGGGCGGATCATTCATGAGCCTTGAACTTGACGAAGCTGAAGAACTCATAGAGCGGATCTCAACAAACGGGTCCACCTGGTACTCTGATCGTCCATCCGCTCAACCAAAAATTGGAGGCATGTACGAAGTTGATCAAATGTCGGCCATGGATGCTAAGGTCGATAGCATGATGAGCATGATCCAAAAGATTGCTCAAGTCTCTGCTGTGCAAAACACTTCGCCAACACCGCCTCCTGTTCCTGTTCTCATGTGTGTATCCTGTGGTGGACAACATAATCAATTCACATGTCCATGGGATGCAATGGAGCAAGTTGATTATGTCAATTACAACCGGCCGCAACAACAAAATCCATTTGGCGGATTTAATTCTCAAAACAGAAATCATCCTAGTTTCTCATGGAGCAATCCTAGTGGAGCTGCCAATCCACAAGCTTATCGGAGTTCACCACCCGGCTTTCACAATCAACACCAACAACAATTTAGAGGTGGCCAAGGTTTTGCTAACAATCAACAAGTTAAGCAAAACCAAAGCTTCCCCTATGTTCCAAATCAACAAAAGCCGATCCTGCCAACTCCTGAAACACCATCGGCTCCCGGCTTGGATAACATTGTTTATCAGCTACTCAAATCTCAACTAGCCCAAGCCGAAACCTTGAAGAAGATTTCTGAAGAGCTTACTCAACTTCGAGCTCACAACAGGATGCTTGAAAATCAAATCTCTAGTCAAGCATCAACATCATCAACAAAGGTGACTGGGAAATTGCTAGCTTGTCCTGAGAATCCAAGAGAGCAAATGAATGCTATCACTACTCGGAGTGGGAAACAAATTCAATCTCCATCTCTTCCGAGTAGTGATCCTGAAGAAGAAAGAGGAGAGGATGTCAAAGAAGAAGCACAGAACAAAGTCAAAGGAGATGCTGCTGAAATGCTTCCAGAATCAATCCAGATCAAAGAAGTGAAGAAAAAAGAAGAAGAAGGTTTGGTAAGGAAATATGCTCCACCAATTCCTTTTCCAAACCGACTCAAGAAATCACATATTGAGGAACGAAGAACCAAGTTCTTGAACCGTATCAAGCAATTGGATATCTCTATTCCTTTGCTTGATGCCATCACCGAAATTCCTTCATATGCCAAATTTCTCAAGGAGATCTTAACAAAGAAGAAGGAAAATCCTCTCACGGTGGCCATGAGTCAAGAGTGCAGTGCCATTATCCAAAATAAGATCACACCAAAACTACGTGATCCTGGAAGTTTTTCAATTCCATGCTACATCGGAGGATCTAAAGTAAACAAAGCTCTTTGTGATCTTGGTGCAAGTGTTAGCTTGATTCCATATTCTCTATGTCAAAAGCTACACTTGGGTGATCCAAAACCAACAACCATGGCACTACAATTGGCTGATCGCTCTGTCAAATACCCAATCGGTATTCTCGAAGATGTTCCCGTGAAGATCGATAAATACTATATTCCAGGAGACTTTGTTGTCTTGGATATAGAAGAAGATGCCCGAGTTCCTATCATTCTCGGGAGGTCATTTCTAGCAATTGCTGGAGCAATCATAAATGTGAAGAAGGGTACACTCATCCTTGAAATCGGGGATGACAAGATCGAGTTCAATGTGCAAGAGCTGAGTAAGAATGCTGCATGCGTTCTTGATTGTTTCAACGCGGATATCATTGATTCATGTATTCTTGGAACTCTTGAGGAATCTCATTTACTCTCAAGAGATCCAATGGAGTACACCATATGCCAAGCTGTTGAAGAGAAACAATCAAATGAGATCGTGAACTCATGCTTGGAGATTTTAGATCATCTCTCCGAACCAATGGAGGAACCAGAAAAATTTGAAGTTCTTAATCTTGAAGAGGAGCCTATGCCCAAAAATGATGAAATACCTAAAGTAGAGCTCAAACCTCTTCCCTCTACTTTAAGGTATGCTTTTCTTGGGCCCGATTCTACTTTTCCGGTGATCATCAACTCTTCCCTAAATGCCAAACAAGAGGAGAAGCTGCTTAAAGTCCTTAGGGAGCACCGGAGGATAATTTTATAGAATGTGTGGAGTTGTAGAAAAGTATTCAGGGACGCTCTCGCAGTTCACCTAAATAATAACTACTCCGACTTTAACACGCTAATGATAAATCCGGAGTAATTATTTAGTAGCAACGGCAACCATAATTATTTTATTGTATGTTTACCCAATTTAATGGTGTAAGAATACAACTCAATAATTATTTCCACCCGTAAGTCTTCAATCCCGGTTAAAGGTAGAGAAGGCTTACGATGTATTTAAAAAGTGTTCTATTTTATGATTATATCAATTTTAGCTCATATTCCTTGTAACAATTATGTTTATGATTGGGCCCTTAATTAAAAATCACAAACATTTCAAATTTATTTATTTTTAAATACAACATCTAAGTAAAAATAAAATCAACAATCCATGTTTAAAATATTCAAAACATTAAGATGGACAATTAATTACACCAACTTCTAACCCCAATGGAATTTAGAAGTTCATAGTTTGAAGCTTAAACAAATAAATAT